TGCTGACCCAGCGAGCTTAATGGCACAGCACCCCGACAAGAACATCTCCACCCTCTGAGCAACAGCTAGTGTCTGGAACTGAAGTCTTCAACTAAAATCCTCCTGAAGCTGGAAGCCCTCCTGCTTCCCAATGAAAAGCCACTGCCAAAACCACATCCTGGAGAGGGACCCTCGTCAGGATCTTAACACACCCACATATCACAACACAAAAACACTATGCAAATGCTTTGAAGTCAAGTATTATAATTCCATCTTTTTCTCCTAGTGCGAACTTTTCATTTTCAAAAATGACAATGAGCCTCCCCCCCCCCCCAAATTATCTTTTCACAGAACTGCTGCTCTTTGCCGATACAAACGGCAAAGGAACAGACAGCACAATGCCTCACCTGGTAAGTAGGCATCTCCAGGGCAAGATGGGCCCCATTCTTTGCGGGCTCAGCCTCTTAGTCCTGACTTCTCTTTGATAAGGAAGTCTCCCCCTGAATGCTATCAGTGCGCTGTGACCAAGACAGATGGCACCTTTTACAGAGAGGGCAGGCTGACTGGGCACTTGCTTATGCCAGTTTCAGCTGCAGTTTTCAAACGGAAGGAAGAAGAAAGAAGCCAAAGTGGACGGGGTGGGGATTAGGTCCAGGAGATATGAAGAGATGGCAGCAGGATTGCTGGTAGCGGGTGGAACCCTAAGCAGACACCCCAGCCCAGAGCCATGGGACGGTTACCAACTTGTGCACCTCTGCCAGGAACCAGCCCTGCCATCCCTTTGTACCAACCGCTTCCATGAGGGCTCTAATCCTTGCGGGGGCGGTGGGACAAGATTCCTCGCTAGGGGGGGGGTCACTTTCGCTGGAGGGAGAGGATAACTGCTCCAAAGAATCTGCTCCATCCCCCTGCAGACCAGCAACGGGGATTTCCTGAGAATAAACCGGGTGCCCCGAGAAGGGCGTCCCGAGGGCAGAGCGGCCGTTACCGCCCAGTCCACGAGCCTCGCCCGCTCCGAAGACCTCGGGCAGAGTAACGGCCGTGCTCCGCTCCCGGTGACTCCCTGCGAAAGCCGGCGAGGCTGCTGGGGTCCCAGGCCAGGAGCCCCGCCCCGCCAAGAGAGATCGGCTCCATGCAAAAAGCTCCTCGAGGCGCCGAGAGGACTGCTTCCCACACTTCGGGAGGCTCCATCAGCCAGCCAGGCAGCCAGCCCGCGCCTCCCCAGTCGCACTTCCGCAAGGCACTTTCCTTCCCCAACGATCCACCCGAGCCCCACCGGCAGCCGCCCCGCGCCTGTCCAGGAGGGGAAGCCTGAAACAAAGGAACGGATCCCCCCCCGATCGCCCCCCCCCCCGCACTCGCCGCT